TAGTATACATCTACAGCAAAGCTATCCAGATACTGCAACAAGAACTTCATGAGAAACTGACTGCATGGAACCACTTATGCAGGCTTTATAGCTATTTAAAAAAAGTGAATTCTCAAAAAGGCTGGATGATGGAAATCCAGAAAACAAGCCTTATACACTCCAAGCACATAAAAACTTCATCCATTTGCTTGCATAAGCTATATTTTAGTGCAGAAAAGACTGTGGGGAAATTAACAGATACTGACATTCAAGTTGATTGGAATATTCAGATTTTTAATGATGGAATGATGAATTTTTCTCCTTCCTGTGAACTTGGTTTGCAAGAGGAAAAAAAAAAAAAAAAAAAAAAAAAAAGCCAAACTTTAATTAAATAACCTATTCTGCTTGGGAATAAAGTGTGGGAGGCACAATTTGGTCTGTGTGAAAGGTGCAGCACTTACTCTTATTCCCTACATTCTCAATTATTTCTAGGGAAAATGGTCTTCCTTTCTAGAACTCCCTCTAGCAAGAGAGAGGCTGAACTTCATGCTGCAAATGCATATTTTTAAGGCACAAAGCACCAGTAGATATTGTATTTATGTTGGGAGACTATCACAAAACATCTAATTTGATATATTGTCCTAGTTTTGCTATAGAAAAATTAAAGTGCAGAAAAATAAAGAAACTTATTTAAGATGGAACAGTTAAACAGCAGGGACCAGGAGAATTAATGTTACAGTATTATATTTCTGCTTTAGCTTCAAAGATTTATGCTTTACCTTAAAAGATTATCCTACCTTGTAAAAGCAAATTAAAAAACCCACCTATTATTATTAATTGTACAGAGCCCTGAACTTAAAACTTCTGAGGAAACACCATTCTAAAGGCAAAAAAATCCTGAAAAAGCTCAATATATCTTTCTCTAGCCCTTTCAGAGTTTACACATGCCCCTGTTCAGATCACATTAGGCTTCCAGAGACCCTTCTAAGTAGAAGAGCAAAAGCAATGAAGAGCACAGAAGCAGGGCTATTACTTATGACACTGAGCACTGTCAGGACATCATGGGGTAAAGTCTAACCAATTACATAGAGTTAAACTATGAGTAGATAAACTGAACTCATTAGAAGGTTTTGATATCTGCTGGGAAAACAAAGCACAGCCAATTATGCACAAAGCTTTCTTAAGACTAAGGACTATATCTCCTACTGCAATAATTCAGATATGCACAGAAAAGAAGCAAAGCATAGATGAATTTTTAGCTACTTGATATCTCACATGTTGGAACAGTAGATCAAGAGGTGAAAGCCACCCTGGTAACAGCAGCTAAATCCCTTCAAGTATGGAGAAAACCAAAGATACTGACCTGCAGTGACAGAAAAGGCCACCAGCAGCTTACACTGACCATAGCAGTTTGAAATCAATAGTGAGCACAATTGCTCCCTGTGGGGATCACATCCACAAAAATCCAGGACAGAGGAGAGGGAGCCTGAGGCAGAATTGCCACAAAAGAGCCAAGCAGGCCACCAGCCAAGACACACACACACCCCTCAATCAGCTGCAATAAACCACACCACACCACAAACTCAGAGGAACAACTGGACCAGCATGTCCAGGTAAGTGCCACTACTTGTGAGAAATCATTTGAGATTTTATGTCACTCAGCACAGTGCTTCTGCCCTTGTGTCTCCCTCATCCCTCAATTTCCCCTGCAACAGAGAAAACAGAATTCAGCAGCTTAACTGCTCTTAACATCTTAGTGTCAGGAAGAGGGTCACTTCAAGTGGCTCAAGGTTTCTAAGCTACACACTTTTTAACTTTTCCTTATACACCATAAAGTAACCAAGCTGTTGTTCATAGCTGAGAACAGAACTTTTGTTATTAATTGCTAAAAATGTTCTTTTTGGGGTCGGGAAATGCTTCTCTAATTAAGGATCTGTCTGCCTCCAAAAATCTTGGTTTTAAATCTCCTAGATAAATAAGAGTTAGAAATGTTTCTCAGTAACTAATCAAGCTGTTTAAAATTAATAAAAAGGAGGGATATACTGCTCAAGTTAAACCAGTGAATAACCCCAAACTAACTTTCAGGACTCATAAGGTTAAAATTTAACACTAAAAGCAGTCTCTTCCTAGTATTTTTACAGACATCTTTCCCTCTTAAAACTGCTGCTTGTGGGCATAGAATGGCAAAGCTGCCCCTCTGGCATACTATGTTACCAACTATACCTATCAAACCTAGAGGCAAAAAATATTAAGAGAGTAGTAATTCTACTTCTAATCCCATCAGTTCAAGATGACGCCTATAATTTAGGTACTTCCATTTTTACAATTACTTTGTGGATTTAGGGAATTCAATACAGTGTTGATGTTTAAGTATATTTATCCATTAAGATAAAGAAAGACAACATCATTGAACTGGCAATATATTTGTAACAAGATTTTGGTTCTTCAGAAAAATCTTCAGTTCCACTTTTACAAATCATTTTAATAGTACTGCAAACATTTAGTACTTGTCTATAAGAAGCCACTCTGTTCTTCTAGTAGTGGTTAAGAGGCCTCATAAAGAAGACTAAGATATGAGTGTGATTTAGAAAACTCCTCACATTTACCTGTTCTGAACAATACTGGTTCGGAATTTCAAATACCAAATTTGAAGACTGATCAAATATAGAGAATCTCTGTAAAGAGTCTGATAAATAGTCCAAAGCCAAATCAGGACTGTAACATTCTTGATTTAAGAACATTTTACTTTTAATACCCTTTCCAAGAAACCCTCAAACTTGTTTCCCCGTCCCTCAGATTACTTTCAACAGAAAGCACAAAAACATGTACCCATACTTGAAGACACAAGGAAAACACTAATATCCACCTCCCATTTGCTGGTAGGCAATGAAAGAAACACTATCATTCCTTTACTTCTACTCTCACAACATGAACACAGAAAAAAATTAGGACTGACTTCCATTGCACTTTTATAATTTTTCAATGAATAACACTTTACTGACACTCAGTCTTTCAAGTCCATAGCTCATTTCAATTGAAAACATTTTTGCAGCTTTAAAGAGTAAGTGGATCCCACTTTAATGAATCCTTGCACGTAATTTATTATTCATAAAAACCTTAGCAGGCAAAGCATCCTGAGGGTTGGCTCTATCTTTGAGCAACAGAATGAAATAAGCACTTCTTGCAAGCCTCACTCTTACCCACTCTCTCAAACCAGCAGAAAGTAAGAGGCTGCTTTTACATTGGGAATATGTCTGAGTCTATTCCTTCTGCCTGCATTCCTCCATCACAATGAGGAGATAATCACAGGGGATGCAAATTCTGCAGTGTTGTCTGGTTACAGGGCTACTCTATCAGCTAAGGGCTTTTAACCCATTCTTCCAAGAAGCAAGAGCTGTATCAAAGTACCAAGCATATTGATCTTCATCAAGTTAGAGGAGCACTAACATTTCAGGCTCTGTATGAAACTTCTTCCCTTCCTCTAGAAAACACATTTTCTGTCATTTTGTCACAGTAATGCTTTCTTCCCAAACAAGTTTGTAATACCTCTCTCAATTATTTAGAAAGCAATTCACACTCCATGAATTCACAGGTGTGTGTAGCCATGGATGAGTGCCCAGAAATAGGTTTTGTTGAGTCATCATTATCCAAACTGCAACATCATGTTCCCCAAAATTACAGATGAGTAAGGTCTAAACAATACATTTTGATCTCTTCTGTTCCTCCAAACCAAGTTCTTATTTCTATGTCTCTTTTTGCTTTCTCGTCTATTCTACCAATATGAGAGTAATTAACACCACCCACACACAGTTCACTCTTAATTTAAGTCAATTCTATAACCACTTAAAAAAGAAAATGTATTAAATTAAGTGTGATTTTAAATATGACATTAAGAATATTGCATTATTACCCCTATTCCTCATGCTCCGAGTTAAAAAATCTGGAGAGTTCATAACAGAAAACTCGTTTTCTAATTGTAGTTTTTCAACTTTTAAAAGTCAATCCTCTTATGGCAATTAACCTTATAGAAAGAGTAGTGATATACCAGAAAGAAACAAAAAAGGTCTACTTGGAGACTAATATAAACACCAAAGAAAATTGTTAGATTTACCTATGTTCAAAGAGGATTAAGTCAATTTCTCTAGCAAGATGGCCCTAAACCTTCCCCATAATGTTTAGAATTCAGTCAATTTCAGGACAACAAAGAAGTCAATTCATTCTCTTATGCTGACAAGTCAAGGTTCTGACAACAGCAGTGTGGATTAAAGAATCTACAGGACACCTCCTTTTAAAAATAAAAGTTTAAACACATATGTTGTTACATGGCTTGGATAGTAGCATATGGCTGTGGTACCATATGGCAATAAACATATGGGTAGTTCACTTTTTAGTGAACAAGAAGGAGCAGGGTAGTTACTAGTGCTTTACTTCACAAATTCATTCTGCTTCTCTCTGTCACTTGGAAGCTTTTAGCAAGATACAATCCCTGTACCTTTTACTGTGCCACTTGAAACCCTCATTTGGCAACACGGAAGTAGGAGCAGGTCACTAGAGCATTACAAAGTTTATCTTAAGAACAAGCCCACCAGCCAACAAAAGCCCAACCAAAAACCCCACAAAAAAACCAAACAAACACCACCTCACCAAGCAGCATAGATAGAATGTTTAAACACCCAGAGGACAGAGCAGCACAACAAAACAGAGCTCAGCCCCTGTCTCTCTTTAGATTTGCAGTCAGCTGCTGTAAATTGTCAGCACACTAGTAACCCTCTACAAAACTTATCTATTACCTTGAGATAATGGCAACTGAGCAGCCATACCTCACATCATATACACAACTTAAACTGACACAAAGAACAACTAGAACAGCCAAGCCACCCACCAACAGCAAAGAGAGTTTGCTGGTTTTCTCCCCCCCTGCATACCTGGTTCCCACCAGACTTCTGAATGGTTCAATAAGCTGAATCAAGACATCACCTGTGTGAGGTGCACTAAATCCACTTCAGAATACAAAAGGATACAGCCTTAGTGCTCCAGTCTGAGTCCCAATGGCCAGTATTTTCTGAACCGGATCAAATGCCAAGGCTGAAGGTTGATAGGGGAAACCGTGACGTACCGTCTAACAAGTCACAGCAGTGCAGTAACAATGGGTCAAGCAGGATAGCAAAAATAAACAGAATCAAGACTGTATGTTAGAGAACAGGATTCAGTGTTAATTACAATTTTAAAATGAACTATAAAGTAATTTAATCACAGACTGAGAAAATCACCTGCTTTATACAAACCAGTTACAAAAGTAAGTCATAATTACTCATTCATCTTCGAGCATCAAGTGACAGTCAGACTTTCTGAAACTTAATTTGAATCTTAAATTTCTTCTGTGTAAAGACTGTTATCAACTCAGCATTTCATTTTTTCATCTACCTCATTCCCTGAGTAATCTTATATTCTGCTCTAAGAAAGACACTAAACTATTAAAATCTGAGATGCTCCTAGCAAATTTGGCAATAAAGCCAGACTAATCATCAGAACTATTATAAACTTGCTTTTCTGAGAATCACTCAAATTTCAATCCAACAGACCCAACATGACAGTGCAACCTCTCTCAGCTCAGTAAAGAAAAAAATATGAACTTGAGCTTGACAGAACCAATCTCTCAGCCTCTACTTCCCTCAAAGAGAACAGGCAGCCCCAAAATTGACCAAACCAAAAAACACCTCATTGAACAACAGCAAACGCCCCCCCAGCCATGGGATTCTTTCTTAATATGGAACTATTGGCACATTTAGCTTTCTTGGTTAGCCAAGACTAATCTGGTAATTGACCAAGCAATGACTCCATTAAACTTCTCAGGCTGCAATTAATCAGAGAGAACATAATACAAGTGTCACCTGTTCTTACTTCCATTCTAAATGCATGCATCCTAAGCCATATAAATGCCAGCTTTTCCATGTCTAAGGCTTTAGTTTAAAGCAGAGGTATTTCAGGACCTCATAAACACAGAGCAAACTTCTGATATACTCCTTGTACTTCACTGAAGTTGCAGGCATACCCCACAACTCCCTGTATTCCACAACTGAATAAAGTCTAACTGGCAACAGCTCTGCTCTTCTCCATATCCTTCATGACCAATTCCTGAAAGCAGCAGAGATGCCTGCAATACACAAAAAAACCGAGGACAGTCCATAAACAAGCTCATCCATGTCAAGCTAGGCCATGAGTGAACCACAAAGATAAAAATGAGTATTGATATTCCAATCAGTTTATATTCCTCTTGATACAGCTGCTGGTTAATTCGCTGCATCATTTTCTGAAGTGTGCAGACACAAACAGCAGTTATTGTATCACACACAAGCAAATAAATAAACGGGAACTTCGTATCTAGATACGTAGCATCACCAACTTGGCAACACACTGCAATGAAACCACCACAAACATCGAAAGCCTTTTTCAGGCGTAAAGGAGCAGGATAAGTGATTTCCAAATAATGCAGAGGGCCAGCTTCCCTGTCCTTCGGGCCCATTAGCAGAGGTTTCTACTCAAACGCCGCGATAATCAGATATGCACTACAGCTAAGCATCACTCCTTCTCCCATCCATCAACTCCTTCCTTCCACGAAGCCTTAGTGAACACTGTCAGGATTACTCGCATGCAAGAGCCTAGACGAAGATAAACCCCGAAACTCTCCAAGAAAGACGACTAAAGAAATCCAGCAAGACCTGTACAGCTACACCCACCGCTTTCTTCCCGTCTTCGCCCCCGAAATCATCAATCCAAACAAGTAAACAGGAGCGGCGGGCAGGCTCGGCGGGGTCGGTACGGAGGAGCAAAGCCCGCAGCGCCCATCGCGGCGGCGCGCCCCCTTCCCCGGCCGCCCGCCGGCTCGGGGCTGCAGCATTCATTCACCTTGCAGAGCTGGAAGTGCTCGGACTGGAGCGTCTCCTGGATTTCGGTCTCCCGGTTCCCCGCCTGCTGCTGCTGCGCGGCGGACGACGCCGAAGCGACGGCAGAGACCGCCGTCAGGCCGTCCAGCACCTTCCTGATGTTAAATTTCCTCATGGTCCTCGGCGGCGGCGCTCCCGCTGCCCCGGCCTCGCCGCCGCCGCGCTGTCACCGCCGCGCCGCCCGCCCCGCAGGCGGCAGACGAGCCCCCGCCGGGGAGGGCGGTGCAGGGGCGGCCCGCGGTCGGGGGCGCCGCGCTCCTCCTCGTCCGCGGGGAGGGCGGCGAGGCGTCAGTCCGGCAGCGCAGGGGCGCTTGTCATCGAGGCCCGCGGGCTCGGAGACGGAGACTGGAGCCAAGCAAACAGGAGTCGGTCAGCCCACCGAGCGCCGCCACCGCCGGTCCCACGCTCGCCGCCCGCGGCCGCCCCGCGCCCTGCCCGCCGGGGAACGCGGCTCGCCCCGGGCCCAGCTGGCCCCGCCCCTCCCGCCGCCGGGGCTGTGCGGGCTGCCCCGCCTCGCCTCTGCTCCCCGCGGAGCCCCCGCGCCCCCCGCTCATCCCCTCACATCGTGGCGGCCGCCGCTGTCACCCGTCCGCGTGCGTGTGCCGGTCCCCTCCCGCCGCCGCAGCCTCTCCCCCCGCGGCAGCGGCAGCCGCCCGCCCGCGGCTCGGCTGGGCTCAGCACCGTCCGCCTCCTCCTCACGGCTGCGTGTGCCGCCAGCCAGCCACCAGCGGGGCTTCTCCCGGCTGCTGCCAGCGCCTACCGCTGCCCGCCCCCACAACCATCCTCCTCCTCCTGCCGCGCAGGGAGCCTCCCCCGCCTCTCGGTCGCTCCCCCTTGCCTGACACCGCGGAGCGTAGCGCCCCGGGGAGGAGGAGCGGCGTCGGCGATACCGCGGCGCCCGGCCCGGTAGCGGCGGGGCGGCCGCTCATGCGCGCTGAGGGCGGCGGCGCCCGGATGTGGCGGAGCCGCTGCCCCCCCGCCGCGCCGTGCGGGGGCCGGGGCGGCGTGCGGGGCGCGGCGGGGCGGCCGGGCCCGAGCGCTGCGCTCCGGCAGGGCGGCGGCTGCGGCAGGTAACAGGTGGCGGCGGCCAGAGGCTGCCGCGGGCAGCGCCGTCCCTGCCGCCGGCGCGGCGCCGGAGGCGCTCGACAGCTGCGGCGGAGCCGGGCGCCGCGCGTGGCTCCCCGCGGAAGATCCCCGCGGCTGCGGCTCGTCCCGGGCGGCGGAGCTGGTGCGGACCGCGGCCGGAGCAGCGCTGGCGGTCCGGCGGCGGGGCCGGGACAGCGCGGAGCGGCGGCGGGGCTGCGGGCGAAGGCAGAGGAAGTGTGCGATCCCCCCGTATCGCTCAGCCCGAGCGCCCTGCTGGTTCTGCGGCCCCGGCCCGGGAGCGCTCGCTGTGCGGCTGGACAGAGGGCTGCGGCCGAGCTGCCCAACACCGCCCGGCAGAGTCACGACCAGCCCTGGCGTCGCGCCGCGAGCGCCGGGGTTACGAAGGTGCTTCCATTCATTTTTACGGCTGCAAAACCAATTTAAACATGTGGCACAGAGCCAAACGTTTCCTTCTGATAGCCCCTGTTCTACAGTATTCTGTATTTGCTTTTATTTTTCTTTTACTGCTAGGTTGTAGTTTGGTATTATCTAGTCCCTGGTCAGGCAGTAGATATTATTCGTCTCTGTCATGTTACTTTGTTCAGGAAGGTCATAATTATTTGTGACTCATTATTGAATTTCTTTTCAGCTAAAATAAACTGATTAATCTCTTTTGGAGGGAAAACTTGTAGAGATGTGAATCAAGATGATGGCTTACATTTCCTAGCCTCAGCACGAATGCCTTAGCAGTAAAAGGCTCTGCACACTGGAAAATGCTCCTTTCAGGTGGTGTTTCCAGCCTGGTGGCCAGGCACGCTGTGTTAGCCCAGTGTCCGTTGTAGTGCACTGAGGGATGAATGTAATCGGAATGCAGCAGAATCGCTATAATGCAGCCAGAAGTAAAAAACCTCAGAAGTAAAAATCCCACAAATTCTTCTTAGACCTGTAAGTTCTTGTTAATTTATAGTTTAATTTAGCTGTATAGCTAGCAGGTATATGATCTACAAGCCTTTGAAAGAAACCAAGACAGTCCACATATTCTTGCAAAGTGAACTTAGAGCGTTGTTCCTTCTGTTACTAGGACAGAAATGTTTGACATTTCCTGAAATCATCTTGGTAAAATGTGAAAGAATGCTTCCAAAGATAACAAAAGTCCTAGGAAAAAGAAAGAAGTATACTTAAATAAGGTTCAGTAAATACCTTAGGTGAAAATCAACTTAATTTTAAGAGATAAATATGTGCAGTTTCAGCATGTCTAATTATCTGTAACATATTTTAGCTGTGTATAAGTTACAGAAGTAATGTCTATTTTCCCATCTATTCCCACATTCTTATTGTAACACACTGAACTGGGAAGAAAACTGGTAGATCTTGGCCATGTTTGAATGGTAAATATAAGCTGTTACAGGGAAAAGAAGGGTACACATACAACTTTAAGAATGTAAGTTATAGTCCCTTTGAGTCTTTCAGTTCAATATGTTTTGGGCCAAGCTCTGCAAACACTCCTAGATACAACTTTGATAGTGCAACTAACCTGATTTTTTATAGGAATATTAATCACAGCAACAGCCCCCTCAAAACTGGGTGATGAATTTAAGGACATTAAAAGCTATCTTTTTGCATACTACAGTCTCTTTCTTTTTCTTACCTTCTATATACTTTGTCTATGAATGCATTCTTTATTTGGACTGTATATTTTTAGAGGAAAGCTTGGATTTGATTTTCAGTTTATATTATTAGCACCTAAGAGGGGCACCTCATTCATTATTGCAACCTTGTATTGATACATTGAGGCAAGTGATACAATGTGCACTAGGTTGGACCAACCCTAGTTCCTCTCCCTCATGCTTTCAGGTTGATGCCATTCAAGGAATCAATGCTGTCTGGGACTTCAACTTTTCCTGTAAATTTTTTTTTTTTTAATTTTCTCCAGCAAATTAGTGAAAAAAATTGTTGATTTCACTGGGACATGAGTTGGACAATAAAAGGCCTTTTAATATTATAGTTCAGTAAATATCCTCTTCATCCCTCAGGGTTTAGGTGCTGTAATTGAGAGCTTCTTTGGACCCTCTAGCACTTACACAATAACCACATCCTGTTTTACAAACAAGACCATTCTGCTTAACTTCCTTCATGCTGCCCACTCAGATGTTCTGACCTCCAATGTCAGAAATAACTTGCCAGTTTTGTACCCCAGTACAAAGTCCAGAATCTTGCAGAGCTGGGCAAGAAGTAGTCAGACCCAACTAGTGTGCAACACTGTTGTACTCAATTATGACAGAGTCCAGCTGGGACAGAGCCAGTGTAAAATGTTCACAAGTTTATTAGGCCCCCAGCAGTGCTGTGGAAATCCCTGCTATCAAATGAATCCACATGGTTCCCTTTTCTGTCATTTCTTACTGATCTCATTATCTAAGGCTGCTAGAAAATGAGAGGAGGGATCACTTCCTCATTTCTTGATTGATATTCTACAGATACCACATAAACAGCCACTGGTCCTAATAGGTGTCTGAGACAATGGGGCATTAAGTGTTTTATGTATCAGTGCCCACAGAACATTAGTTAGTGTAGGTCAGACTTGTTGGGTCTTTTGCCTCAAGATATTCACAATAACTTCACAGATGACTCTAGGGTGCAGTTATTGCTGTGCTTATGAGCCTTCCTGGTTGGTTTTTGGGGAGCTTGGTTGTTTGTATTTGTGGACTGATGTATCACCAGTGTTATCTTGAAGAAGAAAGGAATGATTGTAGTCCCACATGAGCCAGAATGAGTAAAAGCCCACCCAATTATAGTGTATTCTACAATGTGTTGGAATAATCAAGAGCAGTGGGTAGGTAATGAAGTGAAAGGTCCACATACGGTGTTTGTCATCAGTTTGTACGTGAACCTCAAAAGCATTACTGGTTGTGTCCAGAGAAGGCTGCAGGGGATTTGCACACCCTGCAAATGTTTTGGTAATTATTGCAATACTCGGCGCATATGAGAAATGGATCATCAGAAGTGACCTCAAGATCCCTGCTTGGCCTCTAACAGCACTAAAGCTTTTGAAAGTCAGTCAATCCAGACTTTGAAGTCTAAGAAGCACGCTTAGCTTTCCTGAGAACTTCTTAAGGTGCTTAGTCACTGCAGTCAGGATCGACTGAGCCCTAGCCAAACATTTTCTTGCCTTAAATAGAAAGAAACTTGGAAACATTTCTGGACTAATCTTACTCAGATTGTTCTACTCAAATGTATTGGACAGGGCAGTGTAACCACAGCTCCAAGTAAGTTTTGGAATCTTTCCTGCCTGCTGGGAAACTGCTCAAGCTTTCTAGACTTAGAGCTGTTGCCAAACAAACCTCTGTGATTTTTTTCCCCACAATAATCTTCACTGGTGATGAATCCTAAGGAGGATTCCAGCTGCAAATGAGTTTTTTGCATTTTATGCAGCTTGGTTTGAATAAGCCATAAACAAGACAGAAACTAAGAGCATGTGTCCGTTGGCTGGTCAGCTCCAGGAAGAAAAAGCTATGCTAGTGCTCGCCAGAACCACAGCTGGAGGTGAACTGTCTACTGTTTGTAAATTCACCAATTTCAGAAATATCCTGATGGACCATGCCTACACTGATATGATAAATTTCTACATCTGGAAGCCTATGTGGTCCTTGGCAGGCACACAGATCATGGGGCATCCATAATAAAAGAGCCATGGAACAGCATGACTAGCACGTATATAAGGATGCCATCAGGCTGTATGGATATACATGACAGAGAGACACCTGCTGCTGCAGAGTCTGCACCAACATTCCTGCATGTTCAGCTTGGCTCAGCAAATAGAATGACAGGTGCATTCATGGGTTGTTGAAATCTGAATTAGCAGGGCTCTGTAGCACGGATCTATGCAACCAGCACAGCAAATAATATACAAGTGCCCATGTAGCTGTTGTGCAGAGCTATAGCATGGCAGAAGAAAGGCATGGATGTCTTGGAAGAGTTGGAAGAATTGTTGCCAGTTGTGCACTGTGGGTGTCTGACTGCTGGCCATTAGCAGTGGCAAGAGGGGAGCAGCTGCGATGTACGAGCAAGGGAGAGTACATAAGGCAAACAGGAGGAATGACA